ACTAGAAGGTGTGAAAGAAAACCAGCCAGCCAGCCACAGCCATTGTACAGCACATGCTGTTTCCTGTGGGGAGAATATTAATTACATTTCATTCAATGTGACCAGAGAGCCAGCTCCGAAGTTAGCTTCACTTAGGGCGGAAGACCTTCTCTCTCACAGGAGACTGTGGCTGTATGCTAAAACAAAACATGGTTTTGTATAAAGTATAAAAGTGTTGGAAAACACCCAAGGGAACCAACGCCAGGGTAAGCTACTCAGGATACCCGTATCTAAGTCAATGCTTCTGATCAGAATCTTGTCCTATGTGAACATCAATACAACCTATTACTGTTTGAACTCTGTCTCAATGGCCATGCAGGTGGGAAAAGAAAGGCCAGAAAATGCCGAGCTGAAGACGACACTGCCTTCTCCTTAGGACTGACTATGTGTGGCTCATCTGTGAATTTGTTCCAACACATTATTCTCTTCTTGGAGAAACACAGCCAGCTGTCAGAGCAGTTACTTCCTCCCTCCCCCTTCTCGGTGTTCTAATCTCTCTTTGATCGGTTTGATATAGTGCATGACGGCTCCGCTTGATGCGCACAAAGAGTGGCCACATACAAACTTGCACTAGGAGTGATTATACCATGAAATCATGAAAGATGAGATATACAGATGCCTGCTTCCATCCCAAACTCTCTAATCTTGGCCATTGCTGCAGAAGAACCCTTTGGTCCCATAGGTTTTATCAATGGTAGAGACTAGCATTTACACACACACAAAAATTTTGGTTCTTTAGAACATAAAGGGCTGCTGGGTAGGGGGTGAGCAACAATGATATTCAGCTTCTATGCATTACTTAACAGCAAACTAGTGAATCAACATTAAGGGAGGCAAAGGTTTCCAGGACAACAATCAATCAACAGCCAGTCCCATTCCAGGTTGTATACAGACCCTCGGCAAGTCAATTCCAAATTTGTCCTTTGTGCAGCTAAGAAAGATTTTAAATAGGAAGTTCTCCCTACTTCAACACTGATTTTCACTATTTATCCTTCTAATTGTAAATTCTCCATGCAACCCAACACTAAGTATTCTGCTACCCAGATCCTCTCAAATGATCCCTTGTTTGTACTCCATGAGATTGGCAAGGCCTCTTCCCCAGATAATGTGCAAATTTAAAAGCCCTCTCAACTACCTCCTACCCTTCGAAAGTCTGGCCACTAAGGCCGGCAATACTTAGCTTTGGAGAATAATTTTAATTAAAAATTTTACTACTTATAAAACTCCTTCACAGAGATGTGCAGTGGTGGTGCACGCCTTTAAACCCAGCACTTGGGAGGCCGAGGCAGGCATATCTCTTGAGTTTGAGGCCAGTTTGGTTTATAGAGAAAGTTCTAGGGCAGCTAGAACTACACAGAGGAACCCTGTCTCTCAAACAAAACCAAAACCCAAAAGAAAACACATACATTAAAAAAACAAAAAACAAAAAAGTCTTTCACAGAAATCTCCTGTTTTGTATACAACCAGAACATAGCAAAATTACAAAATGTGTAATTACATAGTCATACAAAAGTCAGGTGTGGCAGCTCATGCCTTTAATCCCAGCATCTCAGCACTAGGAGGCAGAGACTGGTGGATCTCTGTGAATTTGAGGTCAGCTGCCTACATAGGTCAGTGCTATATAGTAAGACCCTGTCTCAAAAACAAAACAACAAACACCTGTCTCAGGTTTTATTAAAAAATAAAACAAACAACAACAAAAGACAGCCAGGCAGTGATTGCCCACCTTTACTCCCTGGACTCAGGAGACAGAGGCAGAGGCAGGTGGATGGATCTCCCTGAGCTGGAGGCCAGGCTGGTCTACAAGAGCTAGTTCCAGGGCTACAGAGAAACAATCTCTAAAAGCGAATAATAAAAACCAAACTAAACAAAAACTCCATAATCATACAAAGGCTCCTAAAAACACATGGTTGGAAATGTGCATCAGAGTCCTTTTACCACAGGCGTAAATTAGGAGTCTGGCCAGGCAGTGGTGGTGCAGGCCTTTTCCAGCTCTAGGGAGGCAGAGGCAAATGGATCTCTGTGAGTTCCAGGACAGCTAGAGTTGTTACATAGAGAAACTCTGTCTGGAAAAACAAACAAACCGATCAATCTTCTCTTCTAAACTACTTGTTCAGACAAAGAAGGGGGCAGAGGGTTGAGGCTAGTCAAACAAGAACCAAATACACTTGAAACCACAAACTCTTACAGCTGGATTCTATTGAAAACTGTAAGCACCTGAAACATTTTTTTCTTTTCTGTTAAAGAAAAGCTGGAATCCAGTAACTAAAGAGAAACTTTTTTTAAGGTATCCACCCCCATGCTATATACCCCCTGTTTTTACACCAAGGAACAGACTGCATGGAGTGCACTGGTTCCCTGGGAGGCTTCTCTGGGAATAACAAGAATCCTCTCTTTCTATTTTAGAGTTTTAAAATAACATTAAAGTGGCTTTGGAGGAAGCCTATGAAATTTGGTCCTCAACTCAGAAACGGCCTATGGGATAATTTGTGGATGCCATCTGGGATCCAGGCAGTCTCATCGACAAAAGGGAAACTTGTTGAGATCATCCAAATCTAAATTTCACATACATTTTTACATCTGGACTGAATTAATCTTTTCTTGGTACTGGCTTTCATGTAATAAAATAATTGTTTGCAGGTTTCATTTAAACACACACACAGCTTTAGAAATCAAAATGTGTAACATCCAAGTTGAAAACTACAAAGAATTCCTTTATCAGAGAGTTAGCTGTGAGGCAGGAGTCATTTACACAAAACTTAAACCTGACCACTCAGTCAAAAACAATTCTATTTGAAACTTGCATTCCAAGCAACTGCCACAAAAGGCTACACAGCCCATTATGTCATAAGTTCTGAAAGCCAAAATCTCCATAAGCATAGTTAAATGTGGAATGGTCTACAACAGTCCCCAATCCAGCCAGCCCAGTTGAATGACAGATTTTTAAAAACCTATAGCTCACTGGCATGTTGTCTTAAAGGCAGGGCCCTCACACCTGCCCAGGCTGCTTTCGGGCATTTTACTGTAAAGCTAGGGGTATCTTAAATCTCCAAGCTAAGATTGTGCACTTGAAGCTGGAAGAGATGAAGAAGACAGAAAGATTTCCTGTGCCAAAATGTTTTGAGCCCTGCCAGAAATGCCCATTAGTGTGGCCCATCAGTGTGAGATCACAGGTATTCTGCAAGCAACTCAAAACCAGCAGGGGAAGAATTCTTTTTACAGTCAGTCCACTTTCTGGAGAAGATATCCTGCAGATAACTTGATATGGGATATCCCCTGTGTTTTCCCTCCATCTAATAATCCTACCAAAGTCTACTTTACTATGAAATATGAAGTCAGTATATTTACAACCCCCTCCCTCAAAAATATTCCCACATTTCGATGTCACTTGCCTCCAACTGTGGAGTAATCTCATTTTTAACGGAAAACTGTCATTTCTCAAAACTACACCCAAGGAAAATGATTAGGTGCTAGAAGTTTTACTACAAAGGACCAGAGCAAAAGGCATCTGTTTCCCTGCCCCTTTCTGCTTTCTTCCCCTCCCCCATTCTCCATCCTGCAAGCCATTTGTAGGTCTTGGTTGTTAAAACTTTCTACAGCAGTCTCAATACTCTAGATTCGGGATAAGGAAAACCAAAAAGACCTTCTTGTTCCTTTAACAAAGCTGGGCCTAAATTTATGCATTGTTCTTAAGAAAACCCAAAAGTCACAAGCCTTTTAAATGACAGATGTATTACGGAAAAAATTTCCCCACCGAGTTTTGATGCTGTGAAGTATCAACTCCCTGCAACCACAGAAAGGAAATGACTTACATTCTTGGAAAATGAAGCCACTAGCAGCTTTCTCCAAAAGCATTCTCTAATCCCCAAACTACACCCTGTGGCAACAGGGGGTATTTCGTGCAAAAACTAAATGTAAGTAGATGCTTAGAAAACCAGTAAACAAACATCACCAGGTCCAAAGAAAGGAGGGAATCATGCGTGGAAAATCCGGCAAGGTACACTTTCCCTCCACATTCAGAAGTGCCGAGAATCCTTGCGTAAGTTTTCTTTCCCGGTTGTGGGCACTACACAGCTCATGAGGGCAATGCTAGCAAAACAGACCCGCTGCTTAAACAAACAAACAAACAAACAAGCAAAAGGTGTAAAGGAGCCAATGAGGTAACATTTCTTCCGACACTAGCCACACTACTGCACGGTCTGAGAAATTGTGCCAGCTTTTATTTCAACTTTAAAATGTGCTTGTTTTGACAGCCTTCCATCTATCCCTGCCTTTAAGAAAGCGCCCCACCATTAGGCTATAAGACATCCTGGAACTCCAAGTGTTGTTTTAGTCTTGTAGACCTCACAGGGGTGGCCCCCAGCTGTCCACATCTCCACCTTCCCAGAGAAGTGGTCTCCTTTGCCTGGCCGTGTGTTAAGCTCTTCCACAAACCCAAATTCTGCAGGCCGCACCCCCGACTCGTGTATCCCTGAGGCCCCCTTCAGGGGCTTCCCACACTAGGCAATTGCGGGGACACCGGACGGCCGCACTGGGGTGCTGCCTTCCCGAAGCCGACTGCCCGGCCTGCCACACAACAGGCAATACCGCACAGCGCTCGGGAACTCGGGGCTCACGACTGCTCAGCTAGTCAGACGGGGAACTAGAAGCAGGCGCCCCACGAACCGGGGTCCCGGAGTTCGGGGCGCAGGATCGCAAAGCCCGGCACCCCCAGCTCCGCGCCTCCCTCGCGGCCGCGGCTGCCCTGGGGCCCCGGCCTGGGCGAGCTCCGACTCGCGGAGAGGAGACCTGCCCGCCCGGTGCCCGACGCCCAGAGAGCCCCGTGAGAGAGAAGAAAGACGCCGAGAGCGGCACTGCGGGGAATCGCACTTTAGACCAGCAGGGGGCACAGCGGCGGCCGGGGTGCACCGTCCCAGAAAAGGGGCCAGCAGGCCAGCGCCCGCTCCCGCTCCCGCGCGTACCTCCAAAGTCGCCAGCGCCAGGCGTCCGACTCGGAACCGGCGTCTGCTCCAGCGGCGCCGAGCCTTCTCGCTGCTCCCACTGCTCTGCCGCCGCCAGACCAACGCTGCGGCTGCCCCGCCCCCCGCCCCCGCCTTCCGCTCCGCCCCCTCAAGCCCACGCCCCGCCTCAGACACGCCCCTCCCCGCCAATGGCCCCGCCCTTCCCCGAGTTGGAGGCGGAGGCCGAGCAGCGGAAGAAGCCAAGAGCTGGGGATCGCGGCCGCACGTGGAGCGCTGCCCTTCCAGCCCCATTCCGCCCCGGACCTAACCAACAATCCCATGGAGGGGTGAAGCGACCTGGGGGCGAAGGAATGCCGGGGAGAGCCGCCTCTCCTCTGAGCCCCGGATAACCGAGCCAGGCTCAAACGGAATGTGTAGAGCAGAGTCTGATTTTGTATGCTTTTTCCCGCTGGGACGGAGGCCAGGGCGCGAGGGTTGGCTGTCTGCTCCCCCCTCCGTCTGAATGGTCCACTTCTCCACTCTGCCCCCGCACCTCCAGCCCCCTGGACGCACCCTTGTGGCCCTAGACGATTACCTATAGGTGGCTGTTTGACTTGAGTCCCCTCTTGATAATTCGGAACAAACAGGGCGGCCACTCTGGGAGGAGGCAGTCCCCAGTGGAGGAGGCTTCGTGACTCCTCGGTCCCCTCTTGCCCCGCTCCCACCTCGCCCTCACAGCTTTATCCTGCTTGCAAGATGTGGGCGCGGCCCAAACCCATCCGCCCCCGCTTAGTCTGTCTCTCCAGGTTGACACAGCCTCTGCCGGTGGCCCTCAAAACGACGTTTGCCCTAGCTTAAGGTGGCCCCCGCGGCGGCGAGTGGTGCAGAAGGCTTCAAGAAATGGTTTCATTAGCCCTAAAGACCCCAGCAGAGCTTGCAGGTTCCTTTGCCCCCTTTACTAGTGAGGTGGAGAAGTGAAGTCCACTTCTCTGTTTTGCACCCATCTGGACCTGCCCCGGTAACTGGCAGGTTAGAGAGAGCGACCCCAACTGGCCGCGAGGCTTGCCACCCACAGAACTACACACTGTTTTGGGCTCTGTGGGCGTTGCTGCTCTAATGAGGGGGCGGCCTGGGTATCTGGCTTTGCCAGGTAGGTGCAGAGACTCGAGAAAGAACACTTGATACCGATAGAAGCTAGCTTTGAAGTTGCCCCCTTCTTTCAATCCATACATAACTATATAAAAATATCTGTTATTGACTTAATAGACGTGCCTTATCTGTCTAATTTGGGGTTTGTTACAGGTGCTTAAAAATAGCTTCTGTCTTAGGGTTTTTATTTCTGCGATTAAACACCATGACCAAAACCAAGGATTTAGTTTAGCTTACAACTCTCAGGCCACACTTCATCGCCGAAGGACGTCAGGCAAAAGCCATGGATGAGTGTCGTTTACTGACTTGGCTCAGCTTGCTTCCTTATAGCATCTAGGACCATCAACCCAGGGTTGGCACCCCCACCCCCAACACATACACACACGTGAGCTGGGCACTCGGACGCATTAAGAAAATGCGCCAAAGGCTAATGTGATCAGGGGCATTTTCTCAGTTGAGGCTCTTCTTCCCAAATGACTCTAGCTTGTGTCAAGTTGACATAAAAACTAAACGGCGCACCCCCTTAAAAGCTTTTCCTGTTTGGAGAGCTTGAATATTAAGGATTGTGATCGCTTACCTTTTCTCAGGCAGTTCCTAAGAAAATCACACTCAGAGCTTACAGTTGTAGCTCATTTATGGAAAGCAGAACAAAAGTGTGTTTCAGAAAAAGCCTTTGACTGTCATACTAGTAAAAAATACTAGATAACAGTAGTGAATTGTTGATACCTTGTATTGCATTTAAAGTAGATAATGGGGTCAGAGAGGTGACTTATCAGTTAAAGGCACTGGTCAAGCCTGACTACAGAACCCACTCCTTGGAAGGAGAAAACCAACTCCCAGAAGTTGTCTCTGGCTTCCCTATGAGCATGTGAATAGAAGACTTTTTCTCTCACTTTTTATACTTACTCAGGATGGGTATGTGTTGGGTATTAGTTGATAATAATTTAATTGGTGTTTAATGAGATAAATCAGCATTTATTTTATATGATTAATAAGAAACATATTACTGTTTTGGAAAAGAATTCCTAGATCTGATTTATTATCAGGTTTTATGTATCAAAATCTAGCAAAGAAAAAAAAATAAAACAACGTATTGTTAGGTTGTGAAACATAACTGCCATTATGGAAACAATAGGTAACCCAAAGAGCAAAATATTTTAAATAGCTTTAAAAATGCTCGAGACTGAACTTATTGTCCAGGGTTCGATTGTGGTAAAATTTAGCACGAGAATTTTTTTCTGAATTATAATGGCCATATGAACAGCATGAACTAATTACACAGTAATCACACTCTTACATGACACATTTTGTAAACTACTTCAAGCTTTGTAAATCAGTTTTATAAACTCCTGCGACATAAAATGCCAGAAGAGTGCCTTGGAAGCAACACACAATCCACTGAAGATAGAAAGGGGACTGAAAAAGGATGCATCTCTTATCACAGTATATGGCTTTTAATGTGCTCATTTCAGGGAGGAATGTAGTTCTGGGTGTAGTCTGGTTTTCTCCTTTGATGCCAAGATCTAGTTTATTTTCACTGGTAAAAGGAGCTGTTTCTCTAATGTGGAATGCTTCACCAGTGACACATTCTGAGCATCTTAAATTGTTACTTTTTCCAAAGCGTTTAAATATCAGCATGATACATTTTTAGTTTTGTTTTTCTTTGGGTCTGTTCCATGAGTGTATTAAGTATTTCCAACACTGGGGCATAGGGTTAGTCCTGGGAGTCAATGATAAAAATTCACTCCTGAATCTTAGAGCAGATTGGGAGAACAGGCAGAAAATTTAACAGTTGCAACATCCTCAGTGCTGAGGGAGAGTTAGTTACTCTAGAGGAATAGTACAAAGACCTGGAACCATCAGGGAGAACATTAGACATCCCCTGAGATCTGAGAGGGGAAAAATGGTCCTGGGAACCATTTTGTTAAGACAGATCTGGAATGAATATATATATGGAACACACACACACACACACACACACACACACACACACACACACACACATATATATATATCCATCCTTGACTTTGGAACATTTTTAATACCCCCACATTAAGCAAAGATATCCAGGGGTCAGGGACCATAGGGTCTCAGGCAGGGTCACAGAATGAGGAAGTATCCAGAAGCATGCCTTGCTTTTAAAGCATGATAATCATATAGCTTACTCCAGAAAGTTAAGAGGCTTGTATTGGTGTTTGCTTGCTTGCTTGTATTCCTGGCTGACCTCAACTTGCAGTAATTATCTTTTCTCTGACTACTGAGTGCTGAGAGAGCAGACAAGGACTCAAGAGTCCTCTGGGTTCCTAAGATTCACTATATGGATACAAATGTCAAACACTGGATTTTCTTCCTGTGGGGGATCTGTCCCCACTTCTGCTGCATGAGCCCTTCTACTCTCCTCTTTCACCTTACGGAATGTGAAGCCTCGCTCATGAGACAGCAGTCTGGTTTTCACAAGTACCCAGCTGCAGTAGTGTCCCTCCAGCTAGCCCTGCTGCTGCCCCTGAGTCTGGCAACAACAACTAGAGCTCAGAGCATCCTCCATCCTGGGTCACACCTTTGCAAGAAGGAAGGGCTGGGTGGGGGCTCTCCTAGCCTTATCCATGGAGCCTTTCTTCTCACTCTGTAGTATTTGAATATTCTAGTTTCCCAGGACTGAGATTGTGATGCTTGTGGGGAAATGAACCATGCAGACTGTGTGTGCTATATCCTGTACGTGCCAAATAATAAAATCAATCATACAGATTACCATCTATATTCTGTACATACTGTATATAACTAACCATACATGCTGTCTTCTATATCCTATACATGTAGTACACAACCAACCATGCAGGCATTCTCTTACATCCTATACTTGCTGTCTACAACAAGACTTGGCTTTTTGTTTGTTTGTTTGTTTGGACAAAATCTTGCTGTGTATTCCTAACTGGCCTTAACTGTGGTAATTCTCCTCTTTTCTCTGGCTACTGAATGCAGGGAGGCATGTGCCATCCCAGGGACCTCGGGCTTTATGCATTTTGATGTAAGGAATACATGTGTATAGAAAACTAAAAAGCCAAAATATTACAAATAAGTTTTTAGAGATTCTTAAGATTGATTTTATTGTTTAGAATGAAGTTGTGCTAAAAATTATGTTTAGGGTCGACTTTAATGTTTAGAATTAAATTGTGGTAAAAGTGAACTATGTGAGCATTTTCCAGATTGCACCTGCTATGGTAAGCATTGCTGTACAAGCACTTTCTAGCCACCAGAATAATATGTGAACCAGTTAAGATCAGCTCCATAAAGTTTTTCTTCAATTATGTACTCCAAGTTTTTGAGGGATTCATAGTATATTTTAATGCTGAAATTCTGGTCTAAAAGATAAGTCAATAATTTGACATACTGGCTTAAAAAAAAAAACAAAAAAAAATACTTCCAAAATTAAAGACCATTTATCACTGTGGCTGAAGTTCATGCAGATTAAGCTCGTTTTCCATTTTGGTAATTATTGAGATTCATTTTTAAAGCAAACTAAAATACACCCTAAATGAAACTATTGAAGTCCTATTCTAAGGCTTTAAATGCCTTTGTAGCTGATAAAAGACATTTAAATAGTGTGGCATTTCCCTGAGGGCTCTCATACCCTAACATTTAAAACGCCCCTTCTACTGATCTCAGCAGCTTCAACACTGCATTCTGTAAAATAAAAACATGAAAGGAGATTTTAGTGATCAGGTCAAGAAAATGGATTTCAGGTATTTAATCTAATTATTCTACCAGGACCACCTACCCAGAAATTTAAATACAGCTGATTTGTATGTTGTAAAAGCGACTTGTCTATGTTCAGTAAAACCACACACCATTTAGAATTTAAGCTTTGAGCTTCTCTTGACCTCATGATAATGACATACTTTCTTGTCATATTAGGGTTCAGAAAGCTGCAACACACAT